AATAACTCCCAGAGCTCTTCCTGGAAATGTCTCCAAGCACTCGTTTGACCAACAAATCTGATTAGCTAAAATCATCTCTGTATGAAACAGAGAATAAAAGCAGTAGGTTTTAATTAAATGTCTACAAGGAAAAAGAGCAGATATGTTTGGGCTTCTTTTTCTTTTGATTTGGTTCTAATCTGATTCAATACACTCTATGGTTTCAAGCAGATATAACTCAGTGGAAATGGCATTTCCCCTGAAGTTACAAAGATGCCTTTGTGCACAAAGATAGCTCTAGAGACCAGCACAGGAGTCTGAAGACAGCATATGGTAGGACACTCCCAGGGCAGCTGTTCTGTGAAATACCCCCCAAACAGGTCCAACACTCGACAAGGGTTAGAAGAAAAACTGCCAAGCCCATGTAATGTGTCAGTGAATTTCTTACTTCACCAGAGATGCTTTGCGGCACAGCTTGTCTGCTCCCCTGTAGTAATTCACCAGCTGCACAAGTCCAGGTTCATGGCCTAAGAAAGGGAAACAAAGAGGTCAGACAAACTTCTTAAATAATAAAGGGAAAACAGCTGCTTGGTGCAAAGGACCTATGCAGTATGGACAAAAAAAAAAAAAAAAAGGAGGTTGTTTCCTTGCCCTGCATTACAGAAACAGGTTGTAAGCTGGTACTGGCTCCTGTGGTTTCCTTCTTTTAGTTGCAAAAAACCATGCATTTACCCATTTGTTTTTTATTTGACACATCCATTTTGCAAAGGAAAATAATTATTTCCTAATTCACATTGGGAACTAGCAGCACCCTCCAAAAATGTTCTTCATTTGCTAGTTTTTAAAAACTAAGATTTCAGATACTGTTAAATGCAAGTGGAGGATGCAGGGAAGCACACCATGATACAAAGATCATATCTTAGCAAAAGGCCTCTTTTCTTTGTCACGTACAGAATTCCCTATTGGACCTGATATCACAAAACACTGGGAAACATTTAAAGATTTGGAATCTTCCTTCCCTCTAGCACTTTGCAGCAAGGCCTGTTGGATAGCAGAGGTGGGAAGGAACCTCTGGGAGTCTCTGCTCCAACTTCTTTTTCAGTCAAAGTCTGAGTATCTCTAAGGATGAAGATCGTACTGCTTCTGTGAGTCCCTGTCCCAGTGCTTGGCTGCCATCCTTTGTCCCCTTGACTATCCCAATGGCCCCTGCTAGAGTCAGTCCAGGGTGTCTTAAGCCTTTCTTGCACTGGGAAGTGCCAAACTGGTCCCTGTATCCAGCTGTTGCCTCACCAGTACCACACAGATACCCCACAGTGCCAAACAGATGGGTACTTCCTTACCAATACTGGACTCCACACCACAGCCTGCCTTCTTTCACTTTCTCACATCACACAAACACTTGTGCTCAGCTGAAAGCTCTCTGGGAAGGACACGATGGCAGCAAGTGTCTGAAGGGTAACACAAATCTGGGTAACACTACACAGCCTCTCCCACACAACCAGTGCAGATGAACATGGCTGATGTGCAAGAGGCGAGTGATGCCTGGGGCAATACCTGGGTCACCAGTGACAGCAAATGACAAGAGCATCAATAGAGAAAAGCACAATGGAAAACAGCTCTGGTTTGAAATGACCTTGGACAAGGGGGATCCCCCAAGCATGAGAGTTACTTCCACCTGCACCCTCTTTCCAAAAAAAAAATGCTTGTGGGAGTGGATTGTAACCTTGAAAAAGGATTCAGAGTTTTAGTTATTCTCCTTGGTGTTTGCCTGGGAAAAAAGGCCTGGAGTAAACAAGACCAGGCAGCTGCAAGATCACAGAGCGTGAATATCTATTTTCAACCCCAAAGTCACATCCCTGACCTTGGTCACTTTTTTATTCACAAATCTTTAAAAACAAGACAGCTGAGAACCATCCTGCAGAAAAGATCCGTAACTTCAGGCACTTCAGTGTGCAGGCAGCATGGCCAGGTACTAATTTACTGAGTGAAAATAGTAAAAAACCTCAAATTTTCTTTTGTTTTCGGTTTATCCTGGGGACACACATCCTCATTGGTTTCCTGAGCATCGCCAAGGAACAGTGGGCTGCAGTGTAGAGTCTGGTGGCCAGCAAAGAGAGATCACGAGGCAAGAAGGGAAACGTTCTCGGGCATGTTGCGAGGTCTGCACCATGCATTTAGCGGAATTACAAAGCTGCCAAGGCACTGACCAAATTGATGATCCTCCTGTGGCCAGCAGGGCACAGTCCAGCATCCTCTGCTACATAAGGCCTCTGCAGCCTTTTCCTCCTTTCCCTCCCCTTAGCACAAACTGCTTTTTTTGCTAGATGCAGACACTTACAGATTAAGAGCACAGTCCCCCAAGAATTAGGTTATCAGTGAGAGCAACAGAGGTCCCTGCAGCTGGACAGCAGCAGTGGTGCATGCTGAGAGTCCCACTTCTACCCCTCTCCCAGTGACCCAGCTGAGCCCCTGAGTAACGCAAATCCCTACAGTTCCCTGAATTAACTCTGCTTCCACTGAGGAAGGTGTGATTTCCCTTAGGTGTGATTTCCCTTAGGAAAACCAAACCAGCTTTGATGCAACAGTTGCTCGGGAAGACAGCTTTAGGACAATGAACGAGAGAAGATACAGCTTTTTGGAAGATGTACCAAAATAACCATGTTATTTTTGCTCTGAATGTATTGATTTCAGGCAACCAGTTCCTGCTATAGGGGGATGGTTTTAAGAAGACAGTGCCAAAACATGGTGCCTCTCCACAGGTTATAGATGCATCTTGGCTCTGAGAAATGGTTTGAGTTTTCAGGCATCCTATGGCAACACAAGTTGAAGGGCTTACTGAAGTCCTTCCATCATCCCAGAACACTTCTGGAGGATGGAAAGGGTTAGTAAGAGATGCCCACAAGCCCACCATGGCTTGATGTGCTGTGCATGCCCACTCACATCAAAGAACTGTACTCATTCTGCAGTGAGGCCTGATGCTTGCGGGCTCTCCATGCTGGGCACATTAAAGCACAGGTCTGCTTGCTGTGCCTGCTGTCAGCACGTGTGAGCAGCCTCACTGCTTAAGCCTCTCTCAGTGTTTCCCTGCCTGCTGCAGACACCCCAATGCTGGAAGGTGATCAGATGGCATCGCCATGTGGTGGGGACTTTCCACTCACAAATGCATGAGGAGACAAGGGAAGAGGTGCTGGAGCTGGTGACTTGCAAATCTGGAAGAGCAGTCAGAGCTGGGTCTCTACTGCAAGGCAAGGGGCTGCAAAGCTGTCCTGCCCCAGAGCTGCTGGAGTGAGGGGGCTCCTCCTGTTTTGACGTTACTGCAGCCAGAAACAGTGCTGCAAAATCACACCAGGAAGAAAAAAAATAGGGCCAAGATGACAGTGCATCCCTGCTCCCCACCACACCCTGCAACACTGCCAGTGCCTGGCTTGGCTCTCCCTGCTTGTGGGCAGTCCATAGCACTTCCCCTCCCTGCTCCTGGGCTCCGCACCATCCAGTGGGGCAGAGGGCCAGGGTGGCTCTGCTGACAGCCCTGTCTGCCATGGGACAAGCCTGCACAGGGCAGCTTCCAGGGCCCAGCATATTGGCAAGTGTGACACTGGGGGTCAAGCAGCAGGGGAAAAGGTGGTGGGCCAGGGGGGTGTGGGGCTCTATAACGCAAAGAGCCTCTGGAATTACCGACATCCTGCTCCAGGCAGAGATTAGTGCTCTCACCCCCACCAAGCCCCGTAGAGGCACATCCCCACCAGCCATGACTCTGGGGTGAGGGTTTGAGTGTGCCTGGTTTAGACCTGTTTCCCCACTTGTCCCAAACACCAGAAACACCCCCATAACACGTAAGCTCAGCACCGCAATGTCCCTGCCCAGCACCAGGCAGGGGAATGCCACTGGCACCACTGCACCCCTACGAACCCAAGCTGCGTGCCTGAAGCCCCCTGCAATGGTGCAAACGGCGCTAAGGGCGTTGCTGCAGGACAAGGAGGGCAGTCCGGGAAGCAGGGCTCCACCCAGGGGGGGCCGGGATCCTAAGGTCTGCCAAATGCCAGATGAGGGGCCTCGGGTGATCCCTGAACACCCCCACCCCCCCGCTTCACCACAGCACACCCTTCAAGCTTGGCAGGGGGTGTTCTGCGGGGTACCGGTGAAACCACTCTCCGGGAGCTTGGGAGGGGGATCCTTCGAGTCCTGGCCGGCGCCAGCAGGGCCTGCAGAGAGACATGCCGGGGGTCGGGAGGCGGCTGCACGGAGACCCTTCGGTGCCCGCCCTTTGTTTGGGCGACGGAGGCCAGGGCGGTGACCGAGCCCAGGTGACAGGGAGCCCCGCGCGCGGTCACGGCGACAGGACAGTGACAGGGGCCGGGGAGCACCTCCTCCCAAACCGGGGGGTCTCTGCCGGGAGCGCCCTGCCCGTGCCCGCAGCGGAGGCTGCAGCGAGGACCCCGCCCTGCGGCGGTGGTTCACCGGGGAGGGGAGGGGACAGCGGCAGCCCCGGGCTGCAGGGCGACAGGCGGAGGACGGGCCCTGCTGCCGGCGGGGGCGGCCGCGGTGGGGGGACCCTTACCCAGCCTGCCGAAGGGGAGCCGGTTCCTCTCGCCCAGCATCAGGTTGAAGCGGGGGTTGTCCCTGCGGAGGCGCCGCCACTGCCCGCTGGCCAGCAGCAGCCGGCTCACCTCGGCGTACACGCTGCTGCCCTCATCCCGCACCACGAAGGTGTACATGGCGATGGGCGGGGGGTGGGGGGGGAGGGAAGGGGGGGCACCCCGCCCTACCCCCGGCGGCTCACGGGGCCCCGCCGCAGCCCAGGCAGGGCCCTGCGCGGCCGGCGCCGCCCGGCCCGGCTCCGCATGGCCGGGACCGCCGCCCCCGCGCACCGCCCGAGGAGCCTTCCCGGGCGGGGACTGACCCGGAACCAGAACCACCCTCCGGCTCCGGCTCCTCCCCGCCCCGTGATGCCGCCGAGCCGGTGGGGGCGGGGCCGTGCGTCTCGGGCACTTGGCCCGGCCCCGCCGCTTTCCGCTGTGCCTGCGGGTGGGATCGCTCCTGTCACCCCCTACCGTCCAGTGCTCAGGGCCCGTCGGGGGTGCTCACTCCCCGCCGCTGGGCTCGGATACCCAGCCGTGGTGTCGGTGCTGTGCGCTCGTGTCCCGGGGCTGCAGCCCAGCTCCAGGTCGTGCTGCAGGCCATGGGCACTGGCAGGTGGTGGTTGCCCTGTGGCCCCATAGCCTTGTAGGGCTGGTGCGACCAACCGGAGACACTGCCAGGTCTGGGCTGGCCGTGACCGCACACACAGGCTGCCGTGACTACCCCACGGGTATGGACCTCCTCTGGGAGCCGGGGAACGGCCAGTGTGCAGAGGACAGGCAGGTCCCAGAGGTCTAGCGGGACCCAGACAGGCGGGAGGCAACAGGATGCCCATGAAATTCGGGATGAAGGGGAAAACCAGCAATGACAGAGGCGGGAGCTGGAGGGGGCTCTGCGAGGTCTGGCAGGCACAGCCCTGAGCCCTACGAACAGCTGAGAGGTGGAGGGAAGAGGTTGTTCCCTCAGGGCTCATCAGACTGCATCTCGTACTGTGTTCGAGAAGGATCTTGATAAACCAGAGTGATAAACTGCTGCTGAAAAGATAGTAAGTGAAGAAAGGGCCAGTTGTGCAGTCCTACATGGTGGCTGTCCCATGGAGTGCCTCACTTCAGCAGAGACTGTAGCGGCATGCCCTCGGGAGCAGTGGTTTCTGGCGGCACTTTTACTCTGGAAGAAAAAAACGCATGTTTGGACTGATGGACAGAAAAGCAGGAAGCCTGACAGCCCGGTCACCACCGGGCCGTCCCTTCATCCACTGCCACCCAAAGACAAGGAATTGCAGGCAACAGAGAGGTTATGTCCTCTCTGCCTCAGGGGACTCCATGTGCAAGGCAGGATGGGGCTGACTCACTGTGCCCTCTCGACGTCCTCAATACCCTCAGGCAGGCACATGTTGAGCGTCTCTGGGAGCAGAAAGGCCACTGCACCACTGCACACTGCTACACTGCAGTATGTCACCTCTGGCAGAGACCTCCACACCTCGTCCAGCAGGAACACAAGTGGGGCCAAAGCCCCGCCGAGGCGTGCCACAAAGGAGGTGTACCCCATCCCATTCTGCCTGGAAAGGTATAGACCACCATGAGAAAGAGAGGGGTACTTCTGTCATATCAGATCTTGGGAAAAAGTGCAGAACTCTGCCCCTTCCCCTGCATTTTTCTTTAAGTACTGAGGCTTTTTTGCCCCAGGTATTTCCTCTGACAGTTTTTTCCTAGGGTTTTTTTCCTTCTTTCTTCATATCTTCCTACAATCATAGTATTTCCCAGAGAGCAACTGTAGCTGCTGTGAGAAATAGGTTTATATCTATTACGAGAAAGAAGCTGCAGTTCCACACTCAAAATACCTGCTGTAAAGTTATTTCCACCTTAAATGTCTAAAACCCTGAGAGCATTTTCTAGTAGTAAGTCCTCTGACCTACTGAAAGCAAACCCAAGTTCCATCTTTTCCCAGGTATTTCTAGGCAGGTGGCATACACTAGAGATATCTGTGAACACCTTTGGTCCTGTTGTAGTGATGAGCCCAGGAGAGCTTGCTGCAGAGACCAAAAATAAGACCTAATTTTGAGGGGGTGGGTGGCATTTCACACCAATAACAAGGATCCCGGGATCTGTTTGTGCATATACAGAACAAGTACTGCAGAAGGAACCAACAGTTATGTCTCTGTCAAGGTCTTTGAGTGAAAAATACAAACCAATCTGAGATGAAAAGTAGCAGATCAGTGTTACAAGTTTGGTTTAAATATGGATCATTTGCCACATGCAACAGACCATTGAAAGCTAAAGGACTAAATGGCAAAGAAGGGTACCCTGGGCATGAAGGGACAGAGGTGAGGTAAGTTACAAGGCCTGCTGTGTTTCATGAGGGTTTTTTCAGACTTTCACAAAGAAAGCAGTGAGGTGGTTCCTTCCACCAGTCCAGCTGTATCCCAAACTATGCAGATGGTAAATCTGGTTTTTTTGTTACTGTTACCCAGACATTTCAAGTAAATTCTTTTTTTCCTCCTGGAAGGCTAGTTAATCCATGCTTTAATATCATCTGATGTCCAAAAGACTCTCAAACATGTGGTAGTATGTGTTCCTTATAAAACTTAATATTTCAAGTTATTATTTTCAGGGTCTTTTAACAGGTGCTGACAGATTATCACAGGGAAGTAAGACTTTACTAAGCACAGATGCCTTACAGAGTTCAAAAATCTTCCCACACAGAATACTCCTCACCTTTCCATTCGTCTCCCTATCAACATAAACTAACCACACAAAACCCAACCACACATAACCCACAAGAAAAGGTGGCTTTCTGCCTTTTTTTTGTGAGTATATGTAATCCCTAGAACCTGCTATTTCCAGAGGCAAGGGACCAATCTGACCAACAGCACATCCTGCTGTGCTGGTGTCAAATACCCCACCGAGGCTCTGGGTGTGCATTCCGGTGAGTGGCATCTCTTACCTCAGTATGGTAGGGTAGAGCTCAGAGGTGTACAAGAAGACAGTAGTGAACGCAGCTTCTGAGAAGCCTTTGCCCATAATGGCTACTACAGAACGCAAGGAGGTGAAGGCTAGCGGGAAAGAAAAGGCATATGTGACAATGGTCAAAGAGCTGCCTCTAGGAAGAAGCTTCCTGTCGCCTCATGTGTAAGAAGGGAGAAGGTTCAATGCTCTCACAGACAAAACAGGGAGCTTCATAGCCCTGGAGTTGCTGTCTCCAAAGGCTGGATCTGTCAGTTTGTTGTTAGCCCAAATGGGAGCTGAAATGATGAAAGGATAGGTCCTGACATTTCCCATTGTACAAGATCTATAAATAAGATAGGCACTTTACCTTACCATCACTGGGCCCTTCACAGTGACTGGAAACCATCTGTTGCCACCAGATATTAGGGCTAGCCCATATTAGTGACCTTGACTCATAGACACCCCTTAGGTGGAGGACTTTTCTATACAGAATTGCCTGTGAACATGATATATGGTTTTCCTTCTCTAGCACTACACAGAATGGAAACCTCCCCTTTAGCAAGTACTGCATATAGCATCTCACGCTTGGGAATGGCAATGTTGGCTCCTATGCACAGTCCAGTCAGGATGAGTGTCCACGCCTGACTCTGTCGCCGTCCAACTCGGTTCACCAGCACGTACATGATCATCTTGGCTGGAATCTCAATGACACCAAACACAAACTGGGAGAGATAGATGTTGAGCCCAAAGCTAGTCAGGTTCATGCTCATGCCATAATAAGAGAAGGAAACACCAAACCTGTGAGGAGTGTGTAGAGATGGGACTTAGGGAAATCCCTCTGGGGAAATGCAGGATGAATCCCCCATGTGAGGTGATACTGCTTACCACACAACCCCAGAACAAAGAGAGATCTTCCGCAGGACTGGTGTTTTGAACAAGCTGATGTAGAAGTAACTCCCTGCTGGCTTTTTGTCTGTTGCCATCCTTGTCAGGGCCTGGGAGAGATGGAATGAAGGAAATAGCTCAGCTACTGTATTTTTAGGATCCAGACACGAAACCCTAGACAGGCTGGGGACTTTGCCCTTCCCAGCTTCAGCTCTGCCTTGGATTTGCCATGCATTCCCATTGCAGAACAATTCTGTGAGCATACATTGTCAGAGGCATGTCTTCCTACAACTTTACAGATTGCCTACGATTTTAGACCTGTTTTTCTTCTCATGGCCCCTTCTACCCTCTTACCTATATACCCCATGTGGCAGAAAGGGTTGTAGAGAAATGACACATCATGGTGTTAGCAAGGTCAGTGTTGGTCAGTTCCACCCTATTCACCATGTGGCTGCCTGCTGTTTTATGAGGTCTCAGACAGCAGCTAACAGTGAGCTGCATGCTTTATTTTCTGAGTGCATTTATTTAATCTTTTTCTGAGTGCATTTATTTAATCATTTGTACATCTGTTTATATAAATACAGAATACATAAAAAAGTCAAGCACGGAAAAGTGAACCCTGTCCATGAGGAAGAAGAGAGTGCTTATTCACAAAGGCTTTTGGCAACTGATTGAGGAGTAAGTACTAGTGGAGTTGGTGAGTTCTGCTCATTGGTTGAGATGCAAGATTCACACAACCACAGGTCTGCAATGCAGCTATACCTAAGCTGGTTGCCATGGGTTCACTGTGTATTTAATGGAGATCTCCAGCAGAAATGATGGAGTCGTTTTACTCCAGAGGAAACAACCGCATTTGCATTTGGTCAGGAGAATTGCGTGCCAGCCCCTGCCAGCTGTCATTAGATTGCAGTCTAAAGGAGGCTTCAGACAGTAATGATGTGGATACCTACTACTGGGAGAGAATTTTTCTCAGCCTCACTTCACCATGTCCAAAAATCATCAGCAAATGCAGGGTAGGACAGTTAAAACTGATAAGGTTATGAAACACAGGAAACCTTGAGGAGAGAGTCTGCTAACTAGTTATATGTACTTTCAAATCAATATCCTCTTCAGAGAAAGCAAAGCCTCAGCCAAAACTTTTGCATAAATACTTAATCCCAGCCACAGAGCTGCATAGGCCACACCATTTTTCTGTCATAAATAAAAAGGGCTAATCACCTCTTTGACAGATATTAAGAAACTGCTTTTTAAAAATTAAATGCTGTCCATTTGTTAGGGTTCTCCTTCCTCTTCATTTGTTCAGACATCTAGCTGAGCAATTTCATTCTTTACACCTTTAGGGTCATGCAAAAATGGGTTCAAACCAGTGGATGCATGCATACTTTGCCCAATGCCTCACCCTTGCCACATCCCTTTAAAAGTGCTGGCAGAACCAGCTGACTCACTTGAAAGCAAAGTTTTAGCCAGGGGAAAAATTTGATTATGCTGAATGTTCTTTACACCCACATTGATCACTGTGGCACCATTGCTGACAATCTTCCAGTTTCATATATACACTAAATACAGCCTAAGGTGAACTAGCTTTTGCATTTTTGGATTATAGTATATGAAGTATCTCAAGTGCAATGTGAGAGAAAATATGCTACCTATATGCTATTAATTTGTGTTTGCTTTCTTCCAGCACTGTACCAACACTTGGCAAATACTACAGCGACCAAGAAGGCAAACACTAAGTTGGACTAGTTCCTTGTGCAACTGCACAGTCTCCTGTCTGCTATGGGAGTGATGCCTCTGCCTTATTTTCTCAGGCTGCGCTTCTCTCTCACTGTGTATTTAGTCCAGTGTCCAGTCCACTGAGGTCTCTTGTCATGGCAATAATGAGTGGAAAGACACTCCACCTAATGAAAGAGATTTCTGGTCTTATGGGATCTGGGCTGCTGTTTTATCTTTAGGAGTGAATGTAGCTGCTTTCTAGAATAAAAAAGGAGCATGGCACCCTGTGGACCACAGTGCCCCACAGAACACACTGCAGAGTGAGCATTGGTTCAGATATCAAATGGAAGTAAAATATATAGAGAGAAAGTGGGAAAGGAAAAACATGTGTCTGGATCTTCAGTTTCTTACCTCTGGCGAGAGAGCAAAATCTTTCCTTCTGTTCATTCTTGCACATCTAAGCAGATGCCTGTGAGCTTGCTTCACTTTGCCTTTGGCTATGAGCCACCGGGCAGACTCTGGGACCCACCTGATGCAAGGAGAGAAGACAGTGTTCCTTCATGTTTTCCACCCCACATTCATGGCTCTGGCATCTTTATGAGACTGCAACCTCAGCTGAAAATAGCAACTATGGTGCATGAGAATAAGAGTAATGGGACACCCTTTTTGCTCTTTTATGCTCTTCTACCCCTAAAGGAGTGCAGTCTGCTAATTGATGTATGTCTAGCCAAAATTTTAATCATGTGATCTTTGATCAAAGCTTGAATTTTCTGAGCTGGTTGAAGTTCCAAACTTTTATCAATTAAAATTGGCCCCAGAGAGTTTACACATTCGTGCTTTTTGTGACTTTTTAAACTTTGAAATTGTGAGATATTAAAAATTACAATGAATTAGTAAGCTCTATACTTACTTTGTTAGTTACTTAAATTATTTGTTTTTCACAATAATCAAAGCCTCCTGCACAAGACAGTCAACTGAGTCTAAATCATTGAGGTTGCAGCCCTCAATGACGTGCCCATGCCAGTCACTGAGTGACCAGGGATGCTATACTGTATAGAGCTAATTAGCTCACAGGAGTCCTGTGATTCTTATTTTTCTGTCCCAGCAAAAGATCCAGCACTTGTCTTAAACTAGCATCTGCAACTCCCTCTCCTTGGGCTTCTCTCTAATCTTGCATCTGCCTACAATTCATGGCTTCAAGCCCCAGAGCTTCCCAGGCCATAGTGCAGCCCATGTGGCCTAGGGGGTACATGGTGTTTTGTGGGTGCCCATAGCGGTCAGGGTCCAGCAGACGTGAAATAGCCCAAAGTGTCCAAGTCCTGCTAGAGCCAACACCTACCTCCTGTCACCCAAATCTGTGCCTGGAGAGAAATAAAAACCAGAAACTGCCATTCTCATGGAGACTTTCAGCTGAGCATTCTGTGCAGCCAGTGGGAAGATTTACAACCCTGAAGAACTGTGGGTTTGAGGTCTGCTGAGGTCACACAGTTGTCAGAGTCTCTCATTGGAGTCTCCCACTAGAATGTCTGAGACCAGATCCCTGTAAGCTGTTTGTGATTCATGTGACCTAAATCAGATTACGACAAAACTAGTGAACAACCTTGGGAAATATAAAGAAGGAAAGATGGCATTTTGTGCTCATTGCCACTGTCTCTAGGGTGTAATATTATGTCTTTTGGTTGTCTAATGTCTCCACTGGGTTCTGACATTGTGTCAATAGTATCTACAGAGTGCTAAATTAGATTTTAATTCTATACTTCAGGGAGTTTTAATTATCTGCCAGTCACTGGCCTTTTGGGTGTTTCAAGTTTGATCAGACTATAGTATAGTTTGTTGGAGAACTAATCTCTGTAAAAGATACAGTAAGAGAAAAAAAGCAAACAGCTGTCATGGAAAGGGTGGCTCCAAATGTATCTGTGAATTTCAGCACTTCCAAGGACTCAGGATTTTTGGCTGGTTGTCCTAGAAAGCAAGCAAAACAACTCAAACTAAAAAAGTCAGCAGAACACATATTTTAGTTGTGTTGGACTTGATCAGTGAAAGATCAAATGTTACTCTTTGCCAGAAAGCCAGTACATCTTTCTTTAGCCATTGAATAACAACAGCATCAGTTTATATTCCATTTTTAGTAAGGATTATTTGAGATTTTTGTACTAGATCTGTGCAGCTATTTAATCTAGTGCTTCATGCTGATGGACAGATGCAGTAAGCAAGCAAACCATAGTCTTCAGAAGCATCCTTGATAGCAGCTGAAAGGCACTTCAGCATTTGGATATCACTCTTTTTGTTCAGTGATTATCCACATAATTTTTGGACCCATGTGTCTAAAATCAGAACTTATTCTGCATGGTTTCCAACGAGAGCTTCCCATCCCCCTGAGGGACACATCTGTGACTTCTGCAGTGTGATCCAGCACTGCGCCGTTGTCCAAAAGGAATTAAACAACCACCCTAAGGTGAAGGAGACTCACCTCCTCGTTGCTGAATGCTTTCAGTAGGGCAGTTGTGGGAATACCTGCTTGCTTATTTGAGCACAAGCCTTTTTTTTCCATCCAGGAAATGGAGCTGCTTATTCAAAGGACTGTTTTGGACTGTCAGCTAAGTTGATCCAATTCACTTCATATGACAATCACACTGTCAGTGAATGAACTCTGTATTCTAGTTTGTATTACTACATGAAAAAAAAATCAAAGTTTCTTCTACTAAATGAACCATCTCCCATTTTAAGCCTTAGGACATGACATATATGTCTTAAATAATGCAACAGGAGGGAAATAGCCCACAGAAAGCAGGTATATTTGGCCCATCCGAGTGGTTACACAGCTGAGAAAAGCCATGGGAAGTACAGAGGTAAATGAACCTGACCTGGCCTGAAGATGTCATTGGCTCTCATGGAAAAATTGGTGCCAAAAGTATCCTTCCCAGTGAGGTGGGGACAGAGGATGGATAAATTATTTATCTTGAGTTTGCTAAGGATTAAAGCCAGGGATCTGGTCCTCACTCCCTTTATTGAGATATCTTTTCTTTACTCTGACATGTCTGACAGAGCTTGCAGCATCAAATCCTGCTCCCTTGTGCTGCAACCTGTCATCCAAATGCCTGGCCTCAGCCCCAGTCCTGCCTCCTCCTTGTCCCCAAAGCTGTGATGTGACCTTTGCTCCTGGCCTTGTTGGAGAGATGAAACCCAGGCTGTGCTGTTTTCAAAAGCTGCCACGCGTGGGCAATCCGAGTACAGGACACAGATAAGTCCTGCTCCTCTTGAAGTTGCTGGAGTGAATCTTAGGATCAGTGTTCCGATGTTTGCCATGCTCACAAAGCAGAGGAGGCAAATCACAGCCTGCTCCCATCCCCACCAGCCACCCTGTCACTTCACTCACCACAGGCAGACAAGGCTCAGAAGACAAGGTCCTGTTACGGCTACTAACAGCCAGTGCCACTCCCGCACCAAGTATGCTACCATGGCCAGCAGCATGTTCCCGATGCTCCAGAAGATGCTACTCAGGATCCCGGTGAAGGTGCGGTGCTGTATGTCCACCCACTCCATCGCTGCAAGAGGGAGGCAGCGTTTAGATGGGACACACAGGAGTTCTCCAGGAAGGGGTCTGCAGGGCTTTTTAAGAAGTGCAAAGCAATGTGACATCCCTAGTCTTCTCCTTCACAAGGTTCCACTGTTTGGCCAATATTTGGAACATTTAAAACATTCGTCACAATTCTTAACCTCTTCTAAAGCTGTAAGCAACTAAAATCAAACCTTTAAAAAAAATAAATACTGGTTATATATTAAGAAACAGTGCTAAAAACACTCTAAGTGATACCTTTTTTTTTATCCCTGTCAATAGCATTCAAATGGTCTTCTTTGTCAGAAAGATTTTTTTCCCTCCTAACTGTCTTGCTTGCATGGTTTCCCATTTCTCTGCCCACTCATTATTTCAGATTAAAGAAATATATTGAGATGAATTGTCTCTCACGTGGAATCTACCCAGTGTGAATACTAATACACATGTAAAGCCAGATGGTAGTCTCTTCATTTGTGTGTGTGAACTAAAAAAAGCCATTTTCCCTCCAAAGATCTGGACATCTTGCTACAACCTTTAACAATCAAAATGTCCCTCCCAAGCTCTACTTTGTCTTGCAGGAATCAACCTTTATAATAACAAAAGATATAGCAGTCCTTGTCAGGTCTTATATGGACTTTTCTAGTATTGAAGCCATTTTAGCTTGATTTTTTTCTGGATCTGCAAAAATCTTGCAAATTTTTGCTGCATCTGTAATTTGCTCTTCAGTACTAAGACTCTTGCCCAGTATGTCCCAACTGTATCTACAAAATCATCCAGTAGTCTGTTGGGTACCCTGAAGTTTGGAGCTTGTTTTTATTACATAATAGTCTAAATTCTTCAGCTTCAGTTTTGCCTAGCTCCGTATGATTTTGTGTGTGTGTGTGTGTGTGTGTGTGGTTCTTCTCTTTGTAAAATGCAAAGATTGGGAACTAAGAAAAACTGTGGAAACTCAAGACTAGAGATGTAGAAATACCCTCTAAATGACACACCATCCTTCTTGTGCTGAGGACAGGGCAATGCTGCTGAATTGTCTTAAAAATGTGCACTTGAAGGGTGAGAACTCTGTATCAAAGGAAAGGGGCAGATACTTTGGTCTACAGCTTTTATTGTACTACTGATGATGCTTAACAGGAATTGGGTAGCACGTGTTACAAGCGTTCATGCAACGGAAGTGGTTATATTTTGTCTAGATTGTTAAAGTATTAATTAGACAAACAGAAAATTGTAATTCTTGGATCCTTCTGAGAGTGATGTTCTTTTGGCTACCTGTAATGAAATTGCACACACAGTTTCCAGACTCCTGTTCCTACTAACTCCGTCCTGTCTGGTGGACAAGTCCCTTCCTACCCACTGCCTGTCAGGAGTCCCCCTGTACAACCAGACACCCACAAACCCCCACATACTTACCCAAAGGCAATACAATCAGGGAGACACCACTCAGGGCCACCCCGGTGAGGGCCCGTGTGATGGCCAGCATGCTGTAGGAGACCGAGGCAGCACTCAGCATCCCAAATACAAGAGAGCACACAAGCGACAGCAGGAGCATGGTTTTCCGTCCGAACCTGCCACAGGCACAAGCTTGGTTACAATGGCTGGAAACCTGTCACAGGAGTATGGTTTGAAGTGGGTAAACCAGGATTTTAGGAGAAAATTAAAATATTGCCCGCTGTGCAAAGAGTGCAAGATGCAACATCCTGGAGAAGAGGAAATGTCTCTGGATATAGGCGGTGCGAGAGTGTTGCACTCCCATTCAGAGGGCCAGACTGCCCCATGAGCTTTGGGCATGGGGCTCTCCAGTGGAAAGAGCAACACTGATCAGAACAACAAATCAGGCTCCCCTGGCTAACAACGTCATCAAAAGCAGTGATGTCAGCTCAAAATCCCCTGCTGCTGGCACACCCTGCTCCCTCCAATTGCTGTCCCCATGACTGGCTCAGCATGTCCTTCTCCCATGGCTCACTCAGGACCAGCCACTGTCACCACTCTCAAGGAAGAGAGAGAGTAATGACATTTTGAACCTGCTTGTTGGAAGGAAAACAAAGGAATCCAATCGTCAGCCCACATGTGCAAGTAGCCCTGATATCCTAAGGGGTCTCTGAGGAGGTTGTTCCCCGAGGGTTTTGGAAGTCATAGTATCTTACACCACATCCAGAGTCCTGTATGGAGAGTGTGGAGAAACACAGAAAATCAAGAACACACAAATGCACATGTGTATACACAGACACACACATAAAGAAATATTTCTGCGTGTATTTCTACACAACCTAATCAAAATGGAGCAGAAGGTGTCAGTCTCCTGAGGTACATCAGCATAGCATGTTAAGAAAGCTTAGGTTCAAGCTTGAGTAGTAGATTAAGCCTGTCAATAGGTAATGTTCAGTTTACAAGGACTGAAATCCTGCTCTGATCCTGGCATTAGGGCTCTCTTAGTGGCCACCTGAGAAGGATGGTGGCAAGACAAATTGCTTCAGGGGAAAAAGTGGTGTACTGGGACATAATGCCAGAATAATTAATTCAGCAGTTGAGTAATTAATCTACTGCTGAAAAAAACAACTTCTATCTTGGGTGCAAGAAGTTTGCTGGAACTGCTTTGAAATTTAAGCACAGACCAGTTTGCAAAAGACATCATAATGCCCCTGGATCAGAACAGGATACACCCAGAAACACACCAGAGCTAGATCCAGCTTCCAAGAGATAACTGCCTAAGAAGGAAGACACATTTTTTAGATTATTTTTCTTGAAAATGCAGCAAGAAGGATATAAAACCACAAGATTTCCCACAAGACTCAAGACAGCTATTTAAGGTCACATTACTAGACTCTCAGAAAACACACACCACCTGCTAGGAAAACCAGAAGTGAGCTGGCAGGATTGAACTGTAGGATACAGGGAGGCTAGTAGAAATAATGCTGTTAAAATTGTCTTCAAAGAGAGTGGCAGGAAAGCACAACCTCTGAAAGACTAGGAAATAAATAAAAGGAGCAGACTGCACAAGCATAAAATTAATAAAAAAGCCATTTTTATAAAAAAAACAACAATATGGAATTCTGTCGAGGCATCGTAGAGCCAATTCAGTACAAGGACAAAGTACAAGAGGAGTCTTCAGAAAAAAGCAGACAAGAACAGAAACAATATGTATTTTTGCATCTATGTGTTCACAGTGAAGGTTGTTGGAGGATCTACCAGGGTAAAATTTGTGAATAGAATTGTTCTCAAATCCAAATATCTGTCAAGGCTTAGGAAAAAACCAAACCTGAACAGTAGCAAAATGCCAGGACCGGATGATTTTCACCCTGGGGAACAACAGATGAAATCTCTGCCTTGCTGTTAGCACAAAGAAGTAGGATCTCATCTCTATCAGACAAAAGAAAGGTTGCTAATGGGAAGTCAACTTAGGTGATAGGGAAGATGTGGGGCATGGCTTCTGATGTTTAACAGCTCTGCCAAATTTACTGGGTGTGCTGCCCCCACACTGTGATTACATGGGCTGCAAGAACTTCCTGACAGGCCCTCTAGGCCCTGGCCATGTAGCTCAGGTGCACCCTCAGCTCTTCTTCAGCCTGCTCACAAGGGCACAACTGACTGTGAAACTCCTGTTAGCTGCCACTCGAGCAGACTGAAGGGTCCTTGTCTGACCAATTGGAAGGCCATCCATAACTTTGTCTTTTGCTGTTAGCTTCTCCAAATTTTGTCCATTTCTCCTGTATCCTTTTGAGATGGGGAAGAGGCATGGAGGGAGATCAAATCTGCACACAGAATTCAAGATATGGGACCACCATGCATTTATATGTTACCACATAGTGATATTCTTAATAGTAATATTAATTTTATATTCCTTTCCTAATGATTCTTGATTTTCCACTTGCTTCCCCAGCCACTACTCATTGCTGTGTGGATGTTTGCCTAGAGAAAACTGTGTTTGTCATAACACCAAAGTCTTCCTACTGAGTAGCTAGGGTCAGCTCAGAGCCTCCTTTTTAAATGAGAAGTTAATTTTTTTTCTCTATTTTAGATTAATCTGCCCTGAAATTTTGTCTTCTGATTCTCCCATCCAGTCACAGAGTCCTTCTGCAACTCTCCATGCTTGGATCTCATCTCTACCACTCAGCATCACCTCCCCACTTGCTCTCTTTCCAGATTATTTACAAAAGTGCTGAAAAGCACACAAATCCAAGAACTGGCCCCTCCCTTGTCACTTACATCTCCTTTCTCCTTCCTGGCTTTTAATTGATTATTTAGTCATGCAGAGACATTCCCTCTTATCCTAGGGTGGCTCAATTTCCTAAGAAGCCTTTGGTAAGGAGGCTTCTTGATACAGTGTAGGTGGAGTCTCCTCTGCTGATATGCCTGTTAGTGCAAGCAAAGAAATCTAATACATTTGTAAGGCATGGATGTTTTGAAAAAAACCCAACTGATTCTTCTCTAGTGTGTCCCATGGGGCACTGGCTCAATCTTTCAGAGTGGTTTCTGCCAATTTGCCTGGTACAGACAGATGTCAGACTGCCTGGCATGTAGTTCCTGAGATATTATTTGGAGACCAGTTTAAAACAGATTTGAGATGTGACACCATCCCAACCCTCTGCTGTGGAGGTCACACAATGCTAACTGTTCCAGCTTTTCCATCTCAAAGGTGCTGTAAGGCTCTAGGATAACCATTCCCTGCTCCTGCAGTTTATCTTGTTCTTCTTCTGTCAGCCTATTTCAAAGCTCCAACTCCAACACCTGTCCCTACATATTCTCCCACTGTGAGCACAAACTCATTTATCTCTCACACTGTAGTCTTTTTATTTCCAGATGCTCCTTTCATGCCTTCTTCTTCTACTGGCTCTTTCCCCTCACAATCCATTTGTAAAAGAAATTATTTTTCATTTTGCACTAACAGAGACCTTTTCTTCTGCATTATTTTGTCCTGCTCCTTTTCTTGATTCTGAGTTTCTCTTCCTCCAACTGTGCTATAAAACTATTGTAGATACAAAGCCAAGACACACAGTTTGAAGATCAACTAGGTGTCTTGGATGCTTGTAACAGTATACATATATACTCATGTGCAAAGACAGGGATGTAAAAATTCCCATCTTGAGCGCTATGTAAAGCTGGTTCCCCTCTGCAGTAATTTTGTAACTTGCTGTACACTAATACATACTTGCTTCCAGACAAAGGAAATAGGGAAGGAGTTATTAAATCATGACTAGCATATGGTGAATAGCACATCCCAATTGTGTGCCTGGACTATGTATCCTCAGGTGGGTTTCCTGATTCTGCTGTTTGCAAAAATATTGAATTTCTTAATTGATGCTTTTTCTAGGTTATTACTTGGATTTTCTTTCAGGTCTACATTGTCACATTCCAACATTTGACCAGAGAGAGGAGATTTGTTCCTGTTTTCCTCATTGCTTCAGCTCTTCCTTGAGGAATACCTCTTTGCTTATAACAATCTCCTTTACCCTGATTCTTTAGTAATGAGAGAATCAGGTCTTCCTTGCTGGAGACTCTTCTTTTGAGCTATGGCATGCATTTGCTCTGAGCCACTCACTTGGCTGTCATTAGCCAATTTGTCTATAACTTGCAAGAGTTAACCCTTTAACCTCTTCGTTGAGCTTTGTTTCAACCATCTTTCCTCTTTTAAGACAGTTTTTTTCTAACTGTGGTCTTGCATACTAGATTTTTTTTGGTTTTTACTGTTCCTGCAGCAAAGCTGACTGCAGCCAGCAGTGCATCTGAGTCCTAACCAAGGCCAGAGTTTCTCTAGTGGACTGGTAACTCTCTGGTCCATTAATTATTTACCCCTGTATTGCTTCGTAGTGTGACTTGAATCCCATTTTCAAGTGAGAGGTTGGATTCTCCTTTACAATTTTCTTTTCTCCCTCTGATTGCCAGTTGTAGGTCACAGATCTGTGAAATTCTTGTCATGAAACTGAGGCCCTGGAGGAACAGCCTGAAAGGGGTCAAACCTGTCAGAAAGGTATCCAAATACCACAGCCCCCATCGTAACGCCAATGAAGAAGAAGGTTGCTGTTGCCTGGTTCAGTCCACGCTGCTCACACACGAGGTCCCACTGAAACACAAGGCAAAAAAGATACTTAGTGCCCAGTTCAGTCTCTGTTGCCTTTTCACACCCCTTCACTGCAGCAGGCAGCCTTCACGTCTCACAATTTGTATCCGCCAAATCTGATTGAGGGGTAGAATCCTGCGCTAAACCGCACATAGGACAGTGCTGGCATCCTGAAAAATGTAAAGTTGAATCTTACAAAAGTCACAGTTATCTATCCTCACTATGACATTCTCCCTGTGAACACTTCATAGAATCATAGAATATGCTGAGTTGGAAGGGACTCATCAGAATCATTAAGTCCGGTTCCTGGCCTTCCACAGGACACTCCAAGAATCAAACAATGTGCCTGAGAGCATTTCTAAATGCTTCTTGAACTCAGACAGGTTTGGTGCAGCGACAACTTCCCTGGGGAGCCTGTTCCAGTGCCCAGTCACCCTCTGGGTGAAAACTTTTCCATGATATCCAACCTAAGCCTCCCCTGACTCAGTTTCATGCCATTTCCTTGAGCCCTGTCACTGGTTGCGAAAGTGAAGAGATCTGTACCTGCCCCTTCGCTTCGCCTTGTGAGGATGTTGAAGACCACAATTAAGGTGTCCCATCAATCTCCTCTTCTCTGGGCTGAACAAACCAAGTGATATCATCTGCTCCTCATAAATGACTTTCTCCCTCTCCTCTAGACCCTTCACTATTGTCTTGGCCCTCCTTTGGATGCTCTCAAGTAGCTTAATATTTTTTTTATATTGTGGTGCCCAAAACTGCACACAGGACTCAAGGTGAGGCTGCACCAGTGCAGAGTGGAGCAGGAAAATCACGTCTTTTGACCAGCTGGTGATGCTGTGCTTAAGGTACCCCAGGAGAGTGTTAGATATCAGAAAACTTTCCTGGGTACCATGCAGGTACCCAGAGTTTAACTTTTTTCTTTTCCTGATGCCTGCAATACTTGCCCAGGTCCATGTCTCCCCCAGATCCTTCTGTCATGTCCCTGAGACTGCCCTGGTGAGATGGGCATTTGCAGGGGGCTGTAACACATGCCTCAGCCTGCATTAGGGAATGTTGTGTTGATAACCCACTTTCTGTTGCCCTGACCAGTTTCCTTCGAAGTTTTCTGTGCAGGGAGAAGGAGGGCAGAGGGGAAGTGAGAACAAAAACTTGCTCTTAATGTTAGCTTATTGATTTCTTACTGAGAAGTTGGTTTAGACATTCATCCTAATTAAATTAATGAACATAATTTTACTTTCTGGGAGTTTGATATGTCACGAATCATTACAGAATGCTGCAGCCAAGCTGCAGAGTTAATTTCCTATATGTGCAAAACTTAATTTAATCATCAACCCGGACACAAAGCCTCTCTGACAAGGCCAGCGAGACCTTGAGCAACCTTTCCTGCAACAAAAGCAAGAGTCCAGAGAAAGCCCTGGCCCCTTGAACAGGTCCTGAGCCCACTGCACAATGGGAGCAGCATCACAAGGCTCCATGCTGCAGAGTACCTCCTTCTGCCTTTCCCCCAGGATTGCTTTACATCTCTCTCCCTGAAGCACTGCAGAAAAGAGGTACAGACCTGGTACACATCTGATCCTCACCTCCATGCCTGATGAAAGCAGGAGTGATTGAGTAGTGGGGAGAAGGCATCAGCTCTAGGCTAACACTTTTCCCTGCTCTCACTGAGGCAGTCAGCACTATCAGTTCCAACACAACTGTGCCCCTTTTGCCTAACCAAATTGTTCCTCTCCCTAAGACCAGTGTGATTTGGGCCATTTTTCAAGGAAAGTATAAGATTAACACTCAGAGGTATAATTGTTAGACCTGGAAAAGTGTTTCAGAAGGTGAGTGGTGACTATTTGGTGGGCAGGGACCTTGGGCAGGCTCAAGGTTATGGCTGGCCAGCATGCTGCATTTCCTGATATCCAGGGGAGACCCTTGGAGAGCACATCTGATTTGGCAGCAAGAGATATTGGTGGTAAGAGAAAACAGGCAGCACAACCTTGTGGAGAAGAGGAGGAAGGTGAAGATCAGTGAGGAGGGGTTACCAAAGGAATAGAAGTTAAAAAGTGTTTGGAAAACCAAGAAAGGAAGTAATGGACTCTTATGAAACCCTGACAGGGTGCAATCCTGTGCAATGCCGTGGGGTCCACACAGAGAAAATCCTGTATCTGTGTCTTCCCCCTGCGCTGCTCCTGAATCTCTCAATTGCCTGGAGAAATTAAGATGATTATAACAAGAAATGCTGGCACCAATCTAAGCAATATGAGATGTTTACAAAATAATAATAATAAATGTTGTTTTCTCTGATCTTCAGAGAACTTCCCCTTCCCAGGGCATATTCTCCAAACACTTCATGTCCACTGGTTAAAATGGACAGATTCCCTTATGATACTCTGCACCCAGCAAACACCTGTCCATCTGCTCCTCAAAGCACTGATCTAATTTCAATTTTGGATGCGTCACAGGCCGGGCATTACCTGGGTGGAGATGGTGGAGATCAACTGCGAGTGGTCATAGACCCATCCATGCTGGCAGCGCTGGATGATGGATTTGTTTTCTGATTGCAGAGAAGAGTTGAGCAGCAGGTGAAACTGAGGCTGTGAGAACATCTCACAAGAGCTGAAAGTGCCGTCGGACTCCCGGGGGATACTGATGAGTAGAACTTCCTCCATGGTGAGATTCACAAAGGCCTCTTGGTGCGGAATTGCACAGTGATGAGAGGGGGTAGCAGCAATAAAATTGTGCAGCAGAAAATGCATGGGCAGGTTGATTCTTGGGAGGCAAAGCATAACCAAAATCAAAATCTGGAATCTGCCAAAGCCCCCAGTTTCCAGCAAGAGATCCTCAAATTTCATCATTCCTGTGGAGTTTTCTCATTCAAAGCAGCTATGTACCAAGGAGAAGCAACAAGGGCTTGAAAGGCAGCCTTTGTTCTTGGAGCTCGACTTCCCATGGCTTTTCATACCGTCACTTCATTGGACTTTGAGACCTTGCTGGAAGGTGTCAAAAGTCACAGTGAAACTCCCCATTTGGGGTATAGCCAAAGAAATTATCCTCTGTGCATACAATACATCAATTTCAAACGAATTCAGCACAAGGCCCTTCTCTTTTTGAAGTGCTTTCTTCCTGCTGTGGTTTTGAGAGGGACATTTACAAAAGGAAGGGAGGTTGTGGGAAGAGTGCTGTGGGAGCACTCTTATTTCTTGTGGAATATAGCAGGCAGCATTCCAGGCACTGCAGCAAATGCTGCCTAGTGTGAGCTGATAACCAGCCACACCCACTGGACCATAAAACAGGCCTCTGGAAGAGTGGGGGTGACCCACTGCATTGGGACACCCAGGGGCACCAAGCCTGGTTGCTGAGCATCAACTAAGTGTGTTTTAGTGTGGTTTGTGTCAAGTCATGACGCTGGAACAGGGAGTGTGTAGAGGCTTGAGAGGGCACCTGGAAGAGAGATGAGTCTCTGGATGGATGCAAACAGGGGCGTGAGACCTTTGGGGTAAAAGGAAGGGCTGTAGGTGAAGGCTACCTGCTCACCAGTGTCCTCCAAAGAATGGAAAAAGTGAAAATGTTTCCCTACAAGGTCCTTTTCTCCCCCTGGAGAAGTGTTTCCCCAGGACACAGGCAAGGAATTGATGAGTATGCAGAGAGGCTGCACTTGCCATATTGGGGGCTGTGACATCCTCCTGCAGGGTCAAGCCCTGTGCTGGTGTGCTCTGAGGATCCATGTGACAGCCAAAGGAGTGAACATGCAGCCCCTGACAGGGCCACAGGCTCTGCTGTCCGCACTGCATGGGCCTGGTGATGAGATTAGGGCAGTTAAATACAAAGCACTGAGAGAAGGGGCTCTACCCTTACTCTGCTGGGGGTCCCTGCAGGACCCTTTCCAGTAAGTCCCTTAACACCCTCGCCCCACTCAGGTACAAGACATGGATGAGCTCTAGACAGAGTGGACCCATGGGGCAGTTCCTGGGGATGACACATCCCAGATGGTTGTGTCCCAAGTTAAGAGGGCAGTGCATCATACAGCAAGCAGAGGCAGAACCCTTTAAAGGTTACAACCCCTTTGTAGGGGTGCATGTGAAGAGGTAGCAACAGTGGTGTTGTTGAGAGCTTGCTATAGGTTATCTCCCACTGCATTTCCACACTCTGTACCCCTCTCCTAGTAGTCTGCACTGTCCCTAAGCCTGCAGTCTTGAATGTTGGTGGATACTGATGTGTCATTCCAAACCTTTCTCCAAGCTGTTGCCCCGGGACATGCTCTGCTTTAAAGAAGCTCCGGTTTGACCATCCACCTGGAGAGCAGGGACATTAGTGTTGGGATGCAGGCACATCAAGAGACTGGCATAGGTAAAGTGCAAGTGGTGCTGGCTGCCAGGTGCTGCTGAGAGCGGCTGGTCTGCACTGCCCCTGCCCTGCAGCAAAGGGCTGGGAAGAAGGGGCTGGAGAGCAGCAAGTAGAGATGAAGAGATCTAGAAAAGCTTTTCTTAAGGGCTCCTGCTGTGAACAGTCACGCTTACAAGGGAAAGGCCACCATGCTGTGTCCTTAGATGATCTTTCCTCTTTTCAGCAGCATTCCTGGTCACCCATGCTTAAATAATGTACTGCCCCAGTCTTTGCTATGAACCATTTTCATGCTCATCCTGAGACCAGCATGAAGGAAGACCACAGAAGTGAGGCAGGGACACCTGTCAGTGCTGTGCTCCAGGGTTACAGTTTAACCTGAAGTTGAACTAAAGGACAAATTATTTTTCTTCACCACTGGTCTTGTAAGAGCAAGGAACAGAAACTCCCATTGATATGCTGCTGCATATTTAAACTGCAAAGCAGCTCCAGCCTCCCCATCAGAAACGAGGATACGGATCATTGCTCTGCAAGTCCTGAGGCTCTACTGTTCATACCGCAACTGCTTAAAATGTACATTCTTTTATTTCTCTAATCAAAATGTGTTCCTTTAACCAGTCAGCAGCTTGAGTTAATCACCAACCTGTGTGCAAACGCTGTGATTGACTATGCCACTTGGTTAAGTAGATGCAGGACCTGACTCAAACAGCTTGAACGTGCATGGCAGCAGAGAGAGTGAGCAGACTTTAGAGTATATTGCTGGAAAAAGAAATTTACTTTTTACTTCACATCTGTATTCTTTTGCAATAGTTCTTTCTTCTCCTTTTCAGGATGCCAACTACTTATTGAGAGGGTAGATTATTAAATTATTTGGTGACTAATTTAGCTTTTTTGTTTCCAGCAGTAATTTCCTAACACCTTCTATGGGGCTGTAATAGCCTGGATGGTGAAAGGAGAGAAGGAGCTGATTTGTTCCTTTAGCAATTGGAGCCACTCCACAGGTATATCAACTGCTGCAGAGTACCTGGAGATCTGATCAGTTCTTGCAGGTTGGTGCTTAAATGATAATTTTCTCCTATAGGACAGATACAGATCTCAAAATCCTCCCTTCCCTTTAAGTTATGCCATGAAAATATGTGTCCATCAGAGCCACTGAGCTAGATTCGCTGTCAGAGGGCAGAAATGTCCCCTTCTAACTGCAGCTGAGTGCAGACCCTGCAGGAAGAAGATGTGACACACACACAGCAGTCTCCATTTTTTCTATTATTTATGAAGGCAGTTTAGACAGGAAAACCCTACAAAGCTGGGAAAGTCAGCACAGGATGCCTGCAGTGTCAGTCTAAGGTGCACTGTGCCGCAGCAGAGTGTCCGGATGATCTCGGCAGGATGTGTGTGCACCAGATTTTGTAGCTCAGTTGGAGAAAGCGAAAGTGCAGCCAACAAAGAGGTCCTGGGGCTCCTGAAGATCTTTGTTTTGGATTAGAAGAAAGGGACTTCATGCCATTCTGACTTGGTGCTACATTAACAGATTCCTCTACTTTCCATTACTTGCAGCAGCCTGGTGTGCAGCCATTTTACTTGATTGCACAAACAAATGAAAACTATTTTGTAAGTAAACTGGTCCTGGCCAAAGCTTGTTTTCTTGTCCATCATAAATGTGAGCACTGATCCTACCTTAGAGTGAAAGGACATCAGCCACTTCCATTTCTTTTGCTGTGTGTGATCATGGGTCCACAGCCAGTGCTTGCATGCTGTCTGATTCCTAGACAGATCCCCCAGACCTGACTAATGCCCTTCCTACCCCTTCCCCTATCTCATGGAACTATTTTCATCTAACCAGTGCTGTTGGGAAACTAGCAGGGCAGAAATTCAACCCAAATTATTAGTATACATTTTGCTGAGGAAGGGGCAAATCCAAACTACTCCTTCAGTCAGAAAAGGAAAGACACAGCAGGAATGGGAAATCCAGGCAGCATAAAATATTTTCTGGGGTGAAATACCATCTGATTCAATTACTCTCACTTGGACAGGATAATTCTATGTGAAGTAAAACATTACCAGGGAACTCAGAATATACCCACTGGTTCAGGGAGCAGCATGAGCAGGGGATGATCCAGGAGCTGGGAAGACTCCAGTGCTGGGCATGCCCTCCCCAACAGGCCACAATCCCACAGTGTCTTAGCATGGCTGGCAGAGCCAGGGGTGGGAGAGTGTCAGTCAACAGCCCCAGACACAGGGAAAGGATGAACCAGGACCAGAGTCTTTCCAGAGAGCCTGGTCTGGAGCAGAAGGATTGGAGACAAAACTACAAGGTAGGTCCTAGGTCCGTGCAGCAGCCAGGACAGGAGACAGGAACATGTCTAACACAGCTCAGATGGGGATAGGAAACACAGGCCTGAACATAAATGAAGTCCTGGGTCATAAACAAGAAGCTGCATGGGTGGCAGGTGAAGGGCAGTTAACAGGCATCCCCCATGGAAGCTCTGGGACAGACCCTAGGAATAGGTTTTGGTTGGTTTGTTTTCAGTGCAGGATGAACTCCTGACCTGCTGTTGTGCTCAGTGCCTCTGAGGCTGGGGACACTGGTGCAGCTTCCTCCAGTGGGAGCAACCCTGTGGGACCCCAGCACTGACCCTACTCTGAGCTGGGGCTTTGACTAGAGACCTCCAGAGGTCTCTTCCAGCCTGAATTATGCTGTGAGCCTGTGGACACTATAACACAGGGTTTTGGACTCGTTTAACCTGTTATTTTAAATCTGAGGCTTTACCTCACTGTTTTAAATACAAATTGGTGAATTTAAATAGCTGGATTCCTTTGCATTATTTTCTCTTTGAGATTTTTTGTACATAATGAAACCTGTGTAGATGCTGTAAGTGTCTCTTCATCTCTATGTGCTCTCTGCAACCTGACACATTTTAGCAGCTTCCTTGAAGCTACAGGTTTGGAGGTCTGTCCTTGGGTCTAGCTGACTCCTGGGCCCCACTGTGAGAGTGCATCAGAGTTACCCGCTGCCATTAGCAGGTAGATGAAGGCAAGGCTAGGAATGACAAGTGTGAGCCATGTTTCCTTGCAGTGCAGGCTTCCCCTGCAGTTTGAGCCTCTCCTGTGGCTTGCCTTGTCTGTACTGGGGCTTTTCTTATCTTGAAATATCTTGAGGTGATTGCAGAAGAAAGGTCTCTGAGCCCAATAGTCTCTTTGGCTTTTCCAGCTAATAACAAAAGCTGGTCCAAGTAAAGACACCCCCTCCTCCTAAAAACCTGTCTTTTTCATATTTCTTTGAACTGTTCCAGTAAGAGCAACCTGTTTTAGTTTCTTCCTCCACTCACCTTCTCACTTGATAGAGTGCCTCAGGCAACATTGTACCCAGCACCTTGTGCCTGACAAACATGTATTCCAGAGAATGTCCCATTTCACTGTCTACGGGTGGTGATGAAGCCCCTTGGCAAACCCTCCTGCTGGCAGCCGATCCATGAAGTTCTGAAATATTTCTCAATTTCCCAGTTTATGCTGCTCAGCTTTAATTTTCATCTGCCTGATACTGACACAGACTTTAAGGAGCTTCTTGGGTCCCATTGTTTCTTTCTATGATTTT